CACTAGTTCTACTTTTTGAAAATAGCTTTTATTGTGCTATTTCTGGACATCCTTTGTGAAATTTCTGGCTCCACCATTGCTGACCAAGAGAGGTATTTGAATAATTTACTCTTTATAAATATATATATATGATCATTCATTCTTTATGAGTATATTGTAGTCTTCAAAAAATAATTACTACTAAGGATAAAATAATTAATTTGTGTTGAATTTCGAAAATAACAAATATATTTAGGTAAATATATTTTCTTTTTTGAAAGAAGATAAGTATTTTGAGACGAAGGAAATGCTTAGCTGTTTTTGATTTTAGGAAAGAACATGGGTCACATGATTGCAACTATGAATATATATATGTATATGTTTGTCTGTAAGGGAAGCTTCCTTTGGACTTTGGATGTTGAATCATGCAGCATTTACTCTTTAATTTCTTCTTGCATTTTTTTTTGTCTTTTTCTGATCTGGCAGCTGTGGAAAAGTTTAATCTTTAAAATTAATTTCCACTTTGGTCATTACTCCTTCAGTATATGCAGCCTGTAAAATAAGGAAAATTGTGCCTTCAATAAATTCTTTCTGCATATTGACAATTCAAAAGTGACTGTTGCATTATATTTAAGTGTTATTTTGCCTTGCCATTTGGTGTTATCATTCATGAGGGCCTTATGCTTTTCACAGAGAAAAAGGTTACGTCTTTGGTTGGTGGGTGGTTAATTAGGGTATAAATAGAGTCTTTTTGGCCTTGTTTTCGAAAAATTGTTTTTAAAGTTTTAAATTTTAGAGGTGAAATTTCAAATACGATAAATCTTTTATTAAAAGAAAATAAAAATGAATACTCCTCTGTTCATTAGTTTAAGATTATTAAATTTGAATTTAGGTGATCGAAAAATACTATAGGTTACGGTCTTTTTCATATTAGTATGATGAAAAAATGAAATTGTTAGGTCGAATTTATAGAATTAAATGACTAGAAAAGAACCTGCTGAAAAGTTCAATTCTTTACCATAAAAGAGTTGAGTCGTTTCTCTATATTCCAATTCACAGTTTTCCACTTTATCAGTCTCTATTTATAAGTTTTCGTTGACTACAAGAAATCGAGCTATATATCGCTTTCAAATCGATCTGTTTGCATAGATTGTGCATAAATTTACGTTGTCATAAATTTTTACTTGTACAATTTAAAACTTGAGACAGTCAAAGAGTGGTTATTTGTGAATTTTATCCGTTAACTATGTTTTGGATCATTTTGCTTGTCGTCCTTATTAAAAATAGTTGTCTTTTTAGAAATCAAGATATAATTGAATACATTTTTTTTATTTTATCCTTTGTAATAAACATCGACTAATTAACATAGAAAATTAAAATTTAGAGCATATAAACATACTCTAGTGTTGTGATTGTTTAAATATCTTTCATTTTTATTTATTGAAAATAGATTAACAATAAATGATTAATGTTAATAAATAAAAGTATAATAGTCAAAACATATGATTTTTTAAAAAGTATGTAAACAAAAAATGTGGTAAATAAATTGGTCCGAAGGAAGTAGTGTTTTCTTCATCCACCTTTAATTGTCATGGTTTCCTTTTTTAGGGTAAAACAATTAGAATCTTGATTAAAATTTTACGATGTATCTTTTCATCATATTGATATACAAAAAATTGCAATTTATAGTATTTTTCGTATAGTTTTTGAATATCTATATTTTGTTTAAATATCGAATTAATGTTATCCAATTTAACTTTGAAAATTAGTACTCCCTCCGTCCTATTTTATATGTCACCTTTTTAGTTTGCACTTGCATTAAGAAATTATGTAACTTTACTCTTCTACCCTTATTTAATTTTTTTGGAACTTAAGGTTTCAGTCAATGAATATGAATTTATTTATTTTGATTAATTAATTTAACCAATGAACATTAATCATTTACTTGCTTTTCTAAGTTGGTCAAATGTATATTTTCAAGGCTAATAACTCACAAGAGTAAAAAAAAAGAACAATATGGTAATTTATGCATTGATTTTATGAAATGACAAGTATTATAAACCAACTATTTATGAAAAGGATTGACATATAAAATGGGACGGAGGGAGTAAAATTGATTTAAAAAGCACAACATGACAATTGAAAATGGACGGAGGAAGTAACTTTTATAGCAAAGTCAACTGGATCCTCCATATATTTTGCATTTAATAGCCCATTGCGTTTTTCCAATGCAATTTTTTTGACAAATTTTAAAATTGAAAGAAGGTCAAACCACCACCTTTGTTTAATCGAAGCAGTGTCAGTTTTTCAACATTTATAGCTTCTCAATTAGGCATATGTTTATTAAGGTTATAAACTTGTTACTAGTACTACTATACAGTAGTGATCATCCTCTCCTACACTCAATACTTAAAAAGGAGATCCTATGTAGTGTATTTAAGAATATGATCAATGTACGACAGTTAATTAATCAAAGTTTTTCCGAAATCAACCTAAAAATTAAAATCTTTTTCTTTTCACATTTAACCAACTAAAAGCCTCAATCAAACATTTCATTTAGGCCCTTTTCTATATTTTCATATGATAAGAAAAATTAAGGAGCTATTAATTTGTCACAAAGCTGCGTTTTCAAATCCAATAAATAAGATAGAATGTGATAGAATTCTGAATCTAAATCTATAAAATTCAAATTTTGAATCTCTCTGATCCAACAACAAGAGATAGGCTATAAATGTTAAATTACTCGATTTTCGGTACATTTCAAATCAACGGGTGCACTACAAATAAACTTCCATTGATTTGTATGGTTCTCTAGAATCACCCATAATGACAATAACATATTCAGTGTGATCCCACAAGTAGGTATGAAGAAGATAAAATGTAAGAGATCTTAATTTCCTATGAGGTAGAAAAGTTATTTCCAATAAATCATTATTTAGAATCGTATTCCCTACGTTTCAAATAGAGTACATTGAATATTGATGAAGGAAGCTTCCTAGAAATGTAGATCCTGTAGAAGGAGGTATTATTGATGGAGTCTTAAATAGGTACGGACATAGCGCGCCATTCATCCTTTCTTGTTTCTAGAACCAAATTGAATCAATTACTCCGTCAAGAATTTAATAAGTTGGCTGAAAAAGAAAAAAAAATGAACAGTACTAACAATACTATTTTTGAATAGCTATAGGGTAATGGGTAACACATTCACTTGATGAGTTCCACATTAGTGATTTAATGAATTGATATAAAAAAAATTGGGGAAAAGTACAAATATATCTCCGAACTATCGTAAATGGTATATATATATCCTCCGTCATACTTTTGGAACATTGGTACCCCTGCCGTAAAAAAACTAGAGCATATTTACCCTTTATACTAATGGACATACACGTGTCATAATCTTATCCACCGACCCGACATTTATTAATATCAGATCGACGGTTAAGATTGCGCCATATGTCCCTATTTAGTCTTCCGTTAGAGTGAAGGGCATATATGCTCTAGTTTTTGGTCGGCAGGGGCACTAATGTCCCAAAAATATGACGGATCAGATATCCGCATACCATTTGCGATAGCTCGGGGTATATTTGTCATTTTTCCCAAATTTTTTTAGCATGACTTTGGCAATACTCATACTCGAGATAAAGTTAAAATTTGGGCAATACTCATATTCGAACTAGGACTTATCGTAATTCTCATTTTCCGAGTTATTGAACCCCCATATCAAATTGCTTACTTCTCTAGATGGCTAGTCCTAGACGTGAGGGGAGGTATGAAGAGTCTCACATTGAAACTTTAATATAATTAATTTGAATAATATAATCTTCATCTCTTAAACTAATTTTAGATTAAGCTATGCGTAATTGGACCCTTTCATTACACTCATTGTACTTGCCTTCTGCTAAATCTAAATGAAGAGAAAAAAATGAAGTTAACAATGTAGTAGGGCGGCTCTAAGCTCGTCAAAAACATTCATATCTCTAGTGGGGTGCAAATCTAGCCCTAACTTATGGGTTACGTGCAGTGGCGGAGCCAGAATTTTCAATAAGGGGGTTCAAAATCTGAAGAAGTAAACACACGAACTATTCGAAGGGGGTTCAATATCTATTATATATACCTAAAACATAATTTTAACCATGTATATATAGTAATATTTTCCGCCGAAGGGGGTTCGGGTGAACCCCTAAGAACAAGCTGGCTCCACCCTTGGTTACGTGGATCCACGTTCAAACTCTGTATTTACATTAAGATAGTCACTAAATTTCTACCTAACACTTGATTATAAATTGCGATCATAGTAGAAATTCATAAACTTTAAATTTTAGATCTGCCTCTCATTGGCCACCCTATCTCAAAAATAGAAAAAGTCAAAAACTCCTCGGTGCAGTCGCTTAGACGGTGAAGATAAGCTGGCCTCGTTATGGACATATCATGGAGCTCGGGTGTCACTTTCGTCGTCCATTTAGATTCAAGGTACCTTAAATTTAAAGAGTTGCAGGCAATAATTAATAGCCACTACTTGTAAAAAAAAAAAAAAAAATTACAAAAAAATGAAATAAGTGTGTGCTATAACTAGTGCACTTAGCTTGATACCGATGCGGGAGACCAAGATAGTTGAGCATCTGATTTATGGGGTTATTATATAGAAGTTTTATATTGTGCGCACTCAAAGAGTACCGACTGTATTTCTATTTTGATAATCTAAACTAATATAGATATATCCTGACTAAATAATCATGTCAACAGCCAAAAAACAAACAAACTAGTGCACTTGACAAAGTTAATTTTTCAGAGTAATTACAATACTAATACAGTTCATGATTATAAGTTTAGGGAGTAATATATTGCGTAAAGAAAGTTATATCATTAAATCACTAAAAAGTTTATACTATTGCGACCATGAATTGGTGTAACTTACAAAACATGCATGATTAATCAAATTCTTGTACTGTATATAAGTGTAAGAAAGTCAAACTCCATTACTACGATGTTGGAACTCGTGTTAAAAGGAACATCTCAAGTCAAACTCCATCTAATTATCATTTACTCAATAAAATATTTGAGCACATAGTACAAACAGTTGAAGCTCTTATAGAATCTAAAGAGTCTGGTAAATATTATTACTAGTACTACTATAAACTATTCACTACATGTGCATATATTTAAGATTACTTGTAATATATACACTTTTCTTTACTCTTGCAAATTTTAGAATTTTTGCTCAGGCTAGCTACTAAGTAAGTAAACCTGTTAAACTAAATTACAAAGCTCTAATTAACAAGTAACAAACATTAAAAAGACATTAAAGAAAACCCCAAATTTGAACTTCTATGTTTTTTCTGAAGAAATATTTACTAGAGCTGTCATTTACTAGTAAATATTTCTTCAAAAAAAGTCAGCAGATTCACCCAAACCCATTCCCATAAACTCTTCTTCTTGTGCTGGTGCATTAATAGCATCATCAAATAGCCACTTCTCTAGCAAAGTTAACGGGACTTGTGACTCTTCCAAACTTGGCTTGCTCTCCGCTTGAAACAAAAAACCATTTTCCGAATTCACATTCGGAAAATTTGGCTTGCTTTCCACCTGAAAAATCTCAGGTGTGAAAGCATTACCTTCGCTAAAAAAGGAGTCAAATCCCTCAGGTGTTGCAGCACTTATGGTACCTTCACTAGGACTCGACCCTGACCCTGACCCCGACCCAATTGACGGGTTATTCAACGAGCTTTGAGTTGTCTCAGAAGTTGATCGACTTAATTCAGATGATTTGGGGGAATCCTTCATCCAATTTTGAAGTAACCTGGAAATGTTTTCCGCACTGGATGCATAAGAGCTGGATCCTGTAACGGGTTGTTGAGCAGGAATTGGGCTAATTGGATTAGCAGATGAATCAGATTTGTCAAGTGATAAAGCCTCGCAAAGGGCTTTTCTAGCCATGTGAATATCTGTTTGAAGCCTCCTCTCCCACTGTCCCTTTGAGAAATTTGATTGAGATGATGATGAGGTTGTTCCTTCTTGAGTACTATTCTCATCATTCCCTTGAAGTTTCTTCAGCTTTTTCCTCAGATGAGTATTCCAGTAGTTTTTTATATCGTTATCCGTCCTTTGTGGGAGATACGAAGCAATCGCAGCCCATCTACACAAAAACAAATATATATAAAATAAAATAAAAAGTGTTAGAGACAAAAACAACGCAAAATTGACTATCTAAACTTTTATCAGTTTGATTTCCCTTTTTGAAAAAACACGAGATCTAACCCTAATTCTTTATTGCCATTAACAACATATAAAAATATAATAAAATTTAGCATGGTACCTGTTGCCTAGAAGAGCTTGGAGATGGATAATCATTTTTTCTTCATGTTCAGTGAAGTTTCCACGTTTAATTCCGGGCCGGAGATAATTAGTCCATCTGAGCCTACAGCTTTTGCTGCATCTAAGCAAACCTGAACAAAAAAAATGAACGGCTGTGAGTGAGTAAAACAGATCGATTGATATTTCAAAGCGGTGTGTCCACATTTAATGACTTCTCTAGGAAGGAAAAAAAAAGTTTAATTAATTACCAGTATTACTGGGAACAGCTCTCCAGTTACCAGGACCATGTTGTTGAATGTATGAAACCAAGATGATATCTTCTTCTGGTGTCCATGGTCCTTTTTTCACCCCAATTTTATCACAGCAAGGTGGTCTTCCCATTCTAGCTACACGATCGATATCTAGGAACAAAAGGATCTTTTTCTTTATATGACTTGAAGATCAATGGATGTATCTTTAGTTTTTATGTATTGCTTTGCTCTCTTTGTAGGAAATTTTGTTCAAGAGTATAGCAAAGTTGTGGGGGTCCTTGTGTATATATATACACAATTTGTTTAAGAGAGAGAAGAGAAGGAGTCTTTAAGCTGACCAAAGATGAAGTGGTGGTAAAATAGCTGTATTCCCCAAAAGAGTCAAAACCAGACAACAATGAGCATTTACTCATTGCTTGCAAAAGTCAGCTGTTTCTTTAACAATTTACGTAACGCTCTTATCCTTTTTATTGCAATTTCACTTCAATAATTTATAATCACACAAATATTTATGACTAGTCGAACAGTTTTATCTAAATTGAGAAGTAAAGAATACTCTTTGTTAATCCTTTTGTCTGCTTCACAAAACCGCGTGGCTTTAATTTCCCCTTTTCAACATTTCTGTTTAAATTTTTTTATTTTTTTTTCTCACTATGGTTTTTAATATTTCATCATCCATACAATTATGCATGTATACGAATTCTAACGTGTAATCTATTTTAGGACCAAATAAACCATTGGTTAAATTACATAACAATGACTAATTTCTTTAATCAAGTTGAAAGGCACAGGGAATCGAATTAATTTAGGAAAAGAAACTGATTGGTTTAATCATCTTAGAGGAGTTTCTAGATTTGCTTACAATGATAGTGAAGTAACATCCATCTTATTCATTAGTGATTAGTCACCCTTCAATGAAACACATAAATAGTTCTACAAATTCTTAAGTTCTCCATTTGTATGTTTTTAAATCAAGTTATTTCTCTGAATGCCACTTGCACCTCTCATTTAATTCGATAGGAATGATTTTTATATTTTGTTGACAGAAACACGATAAGATTTTTATTTTATTTTATTTGACAATAAGAGCATAGAGTTAAATTATTAAACCTCAAGTTCCAATAGCTTAATATAAATTAATTGTTTGTTTAACATGCATTTAAATCAGAGCTTCCCTGTAGAGTTAATTAAAATTAATTCAACTTGTTAAAGTACAATTTATTTATAAATGTATTATTAATATAAATGGATTGTCATGACAAAGATCGGGAATTTGACTTAATCCAAAATGGGAGCAAGAAAGCATCAGTCTTAAGTCTGCCCAATTGTTTAATTTTTTTTCTAGAAGCATACGGTCAGGTTTGAAAAGATTCACTAATTTTAGACTTGGTCGACATTATTTTGACATTTTATTTGTTTGCTTAAACCTAAATCTTAGGAAAATGTTTCTTCATGTCCAGACCTTCACATGGTTCTTGTTTTCATGACTTCTACTGTTTCTTCATGAATTGGTGCAAGCAACCTCCCCCCCCCACCACCACCTCACCCCACACACGGTCCTTTTATAATGAAGTGTACAATATTGTGATCTTTAATTATAGTTATGTCAAATGTACCAAAATATCTTTTAACTTTGTAGTTTTAAACACGTCATGTTCAAATCTGAATTTAAAATATTTCTCAAAAGGAAAAAAATATGAATTTTAAAAATAAATTGAAACGTAGAAAAAAGTATATGCTATCGTAAATGATATGCAGATACCCTCCGTCATACTTTAGAGACATTGTTGCCCCTTCCGTCCAAAAACTAGAGCATATATACCCTTTATACTGACGGATATACACGTGTTACAATCTTATCCACCGAATTTATTAAATATCAGATCGACGGATAAGATTGCACCACGTGTCTCTATTTAGTATTCCGTAGAGTGAAGGACATATATACTCTAGTTTTTGGACGGCAAGGTCACCAATGGCCCTAAAGTATGACGAAGAATATTTGCATACCATTTATGATAGTTTGGGTTATATTTTCCCTTTTTCCTATATAAAAATGACTTTGATGATATAAAAATATTTCCGCCGATAGTTTTACTAAAAAGAGAAAAAGGAGTTTTGTCTAATTTAGTTTATAATAAAGGATATATTGAAAAAGTCAAAGAGGAAATCTGTCAGCATGATATGCTACAAGACAAATTGGTACTGATGAAAAGTCCGGCAAACCCTTTTCTTGTCCTATTATTACACTTCGGGGGCACTATACCACCCGCCCCGGCCCGGACAGGAATACTCATTTTATATGGTGAGGTGGCAAATTTTCTTTTCCAGGACCAGCCCCCCTCAAGAAAATGTTTAGGTGGCCCTAAAAACATTAAACTAACCACAATAATGATGATTAATTGCATTTTTTTTAATTGATGTCTGATATTCAATATTTTATTAGGATTTAAATAAATTTGAATTTGTGTTTTAAAATCTCACATAAGCACAAAACACTTCTAATAAAAATAACTTTATATTAGGAATACGTAAATTTGAGACGTCTGATTAAACATGTTATTCAATTTGATGATATATAGGATAAAGTCGAGGTTGCTTTCTTTATCTTCCCTTTTTTAAGTTTTGACTTACTAGTATCAAACATGAAAATTTTGGAACTTATAAGTGGAAACATAGAAATTGTCTTCTTCTTAGTGTTCCCTCCCAAATCCAGGAAACACAAGTCAGCATATTCACACTGATGAATGAAATCATTTCTTGGATTAAAAAAAAGAACAAAATTATTTCGTTCAATTAAAAAAGAAAAAGTTCATTTCTTGAAAAGGATGGATAGATTTTTGGTTTAATCTAAGCAGTATTTGTCTAAAAAAAAGCAGTGAAAATCATGTGTGTATCATTGTCGATCACATGATGAACTCCTTAAAACAAGTTCTTACAAGACACTTTTGCAATGTCCAAACAATACATTTTTATTTTTTTGCTATTTCTCAAAAATTGAAGTCATATTGAAGATAAACAACAATAAAATAAAATTATCCAAATAATAATAATAATAATTAATTGGCAGCCACGTGTGAGTTAAAGTTGAATATTCCACTAAGAAGATCGTGAAAGAAGTTGAATTCATCCGTTACATATGAGGTAAGTTAGTATTCACACTAATTTGTATACAATTAAATCATCATTTACAAGATAGTTATTATAAATAAAATTACTTAATAACATATAGAAGTTTCTACATGGTCAATTTATATTACTAATTAAATCTTTTGTCTATACGTGTTGATCAGTGTTTATCAAGAACGGAGTGAGCTTAGCTACTTTGGATTTTGGAGTGTACTAATTAACTTAGTTTGACTATTTCTTTGGTCATTATTATATATAATAAGTTTTTATATTAATTGGCCAGGCAAATGGATGTGGCTTGATGTGACTTACGCACCCCGTTGCGTCAACAAGTCATCCTCCACGTATAGCCATGCTCACATTAATCAATTCAATTTTGGCCTGTCCTCCCATGCCCCTCTCCCTCTAAACTCATCATTTTTTTGCACCTATTCCAAAAATATTATTATTATTTTTTTGCTTTTAGACAACTTTTAAATTTTAACTTTCGGTACGAATATTTAAGATCATAACATTTTGATATATTTATCATATCTTTAATTTAAGATTATAAGATTTAATTTTTTTAACTTTCATGAACTCACTGTCAAATTAAATAGGACAACAAAAGTAAAAATCTAAACTATTCCTTAAATATTTTTTTTTTCTCAATTTATGTGAAGGTGTAACTATTTAAGGAGCTAAAACAATTTTTCTTTACTTGTACTTTTCTCAAACTTTTTAAAAATATTTTGTATAATTAGCTATTGGCTTGAAATAATTCTTGTGTAATGTAAAATTAATATATAGATTTTATTTTAAAATATTTAAAGAATCTTTACCTGAACTCATAACTAAAATTTAGTGTTTTGACTCTTATGCACCGTACAACTTACATAAATTGAGACGTAGAAATTAGAGAGTACTAATAAATTATTAAACTCTAATTCTGTAATTTCAGGAATGTAATGGTCCGCTAATACCGGAAAAAAGGAGTTTTCATTTTCTTTTGTACACGTAGCCATGTTTTGCCTGAAAATAGGTGGAAATTCAATCATATTAAAGTAGCATACTGTTTGTTATAGTATGTTTGACAGAAAAGGAAAAAAGTTGATACTAATTTTGGGGATACCAAAATTAAAACTAGCTTGTTTCTGAAGCCTTTGATAATTAGAAATATTCGAGGAGATGTATGAACAATTATATGTTTATGTTTATATTTTTTTTTTAAATGATAGTAATTCCAACTTCCGTTTATTTATTTTCTTTTTAGTAATTCTCTAATTGTAGAAAGTGCGACAAGTTACACACATATATATAGGTGGCGTTACTGAAGGAGATAAACACAAACCGAACGCATATGATATTTATTATGTCAATATATTTCAATTATTCTCCAAAGATTTTTTTTCTTCTTTATAAATATGAAAGATCGAGAATTTTTTGACGTGGCACTCATGTAGTCTGTATAGACTGAATTAAAATACATAAATACTCCGTATGCAACTTTTCGTATAGACGAAAAAGATCGAAGTGGACAAAATGAATAAGCACTTCCACGCGGTGACAAATAAAGAAATTTCGATAAGGATATTCAAGATATAATAGATATTTTTATTTTATTTTGGACACTTAAATAATTTTTAGCATATATAATATAATTTTTTATTAAAAATATTTAATTAATTATCTTTTTATCAAGTGTGAACTGATAGTCGGATGCCAATATAACAAGAGTGTGAAGGTTCAAATAGAGACAATTTTGTAATTCATTTTGATGTGGAAAACATATTTGGCAGGTTCCTAATATTTTAAGCATATTTCAACGTAATGACTTAAACTAGTAGTGGGAAACAAACAAAAGGACCTTTCTTGGAATTTGATTTCTAAAAAAATCATAAGAAATTGTTAGTATATGCAAAGGTGGAATTTTATTTCATTTGAAGTTGAAAATGGGACTTTTTAAATTATTATATCATGACCCAAATGCAGCCGGGTTTTTTTAAAATAAAAATGATCTTGAATTAGATAAATTGGATTATGAAACTGTTGATAAGTAGTTTAGTTGACTTATAAAAATCTTGTCAAAAGATTTTCAATTCTTTTTTTATTTGATATGTTATTATATAATTATGAAAAATAATATTATAATTTTATTAGTTACTCAAAAAATTATTCAAAAAAATTAAAACTTAATAAGAAGGGAAAATAGTAATTTTGATCCTTAAGTTATTGTCTTATTGCAATTTTGGTCCTTATGTTGTATGATTTAGCATATTTGACCTTCAATTAATTTAAATGTGTTATTTTAGT